TACCAACATTCGCATCATGGGGGGTGCCAAAAGAAGAGAGAGAGCAAGATATTGAAAACCTATTTGAAGAAATAATGATGGAAAATCTCCCCTACCTGGTGAAAGAAAAAGACTTACAAGTCCAGGAAGTGCAGAGAGTCCTAACAAAAGGAACCCAAAGAATCCCACACCAAGACATATCATAATTAAAATGCCAAGAGCAAAAGACAAAGAGAGAATATTAAAAGCAGCAAGAGAAAAGCAGTTAGTTACCTACAAGGGAGCACCCATACAACTGTCAGCTGATTTCATAACAGAAACTATGCATGACAGAAGGGAGTGGCAAGAAATATTCAGTGATGAATAGCAAGAACCTACAACCAAGATTACTCTATCCAGAAAAGCTATCATTCAGAATTGAAGGTCAGATAAAGAGATGTTCAGACAAGAAAAAGCTAAAGGAATTCATCACCACCAAACCAGTATTACATAAAATGTTGAAGTGCATTGAAGAAGAAGAAGAAGAAGAAGAAGAAGAAGAAGAAGAAGAAGAAATATATATCAACAATTGAATGTAAAAATAAAATAAATGAACCAGGAATCTAATGAACAAAATAAGCTGATGAATAAAATAGAACCAGAGGCATAGAAACATGGAACAGACTGACAAATCTCAGAGGGAAGGGGTGGGGGGTGGCAGAAGAGATTAACTAAAGCACTTATGTTCATATAGGCATTACCCATGGACACAGACAACAGAGTGGTGAAGTCTGGGGGCGGGGTGGGGGGAGGGAAACTAGGTGGAGAGGGGCAATGGAGGGAAAAGGGCAGACATCTGTGATAGTCTCAACAATGAAAATTTAAAAATAAATAAATAAATTGAATCTTAAAAAAAGAAATTGCTGACATGGTGAGGTCTAGGGCACAGGTGTTTGTTATACTGCTCTCATTGTGCTTATTTGTGAGTTTTTAAATATCATAATAAAAAAACACAAGAAATAAAATTCCCTGTAATGTGTTACAAAGAGCACATAGGAAGACGCTGCCCATTGCATTGTTCTTAGGAGCTGAAATGTGGGAACGAGCTGAGAAACAGAGAGCTGGTTGAACATCACCGCCCTCCATAGAATGCAAATCCCACAGAGATCCGTCACTGGGTAGTGGGAATCCCAAAAGCATTTCCTTGAGTGAAAAAAAGCCAGACACAAAAGCGTGCCATTCCTATGAAGAACAGGTCCCGCGCCCCGACATGACAGGTCCGAAGGTGAGTGGACCTGACTGGAAAGGCGCAGGGAGCGCCCTGAGGGAGGGGAGTGCTCTGTGACCAGCCGGGTGCATAAGGTTGTCAGAACCAGGCATCTCCTTGTTCAGCCGAGATGTGCGTTTTACCAACCAGGCTTGTTAACAAGTCAGGTAGGGGTAAATGGATACAAAGCTACTACTCGTGCGCTGAGCCGCAAATTAGCAAGAAAAAAGCGAACTGCTTTTCCGTTGCAGAGAAGGATGCTTTGAGAAAAACCCGCCGAGGGCGTCCCTGCTGCGCCGTGGTTTCTGGCGGGCTGGCGGCAGAGGGCGCGCACGGACTGCCTGGAGCTCAGGGACCGCGGGTCCCACCTGAGGCTGCCCAACCGGCGAGCCGCGAGCCGGAGCCAAGAAATCCGGCTGGACCAGACCGGACACCGGACGCCGCCTTGCCGCCTCCCAGGCTCCGCGAGGGCCCTGCTCCACCACGGGATCCCGCACATGGTCTGCGCGCCCACCAGGCCCGCGTGGCCCCGCCCAGCTGTGGGGAACCAGGGCCCAGCAGACGTTTGGGCTTGGACTTCGCCCCGCCTGGCATGGCGGCCACTGCGGGAGGCCAGGCCCCGCTGGGGAGCTGTAAACCGCGAGGGATCCCCTTTCACCAGTGGCCACCTCAGACCCGCCCAGCGCGCTCCCCAGCCCCCTGCCCCTCCACACCCGCGGCCAGAGTGATGCCCGCTGCCCTGCAGAGATGAGCCCGCCTGGGGGCGGAGGCTCAGAGCCCACCCCATCAGGTGCCACCGCTCTGATGGGAAGGGCGAAACCAAAAGCTGGGGAGGGGTGGAATCTAGCTCCCGGGAGGGGGGGGGGGGGGGGAAGAACCCAGGGCCAGAGCTGGGGGCTTGGAAGTCGCCGTCCTATCCACAATGGATACCTCCTACCCCGCTGCCCCCTTGTCGCCCAACGCCAGGTTTAAGAGGGAGAAATAACCATCAGGGTTATAAAATACTCATGGCCTAAATATATCCCCCTGGTCAGACACAGCTTGGGAACTGCGCCACCCACCCACCCACACTGGCACCTTCCAGAAGGGGACAAGAGGACAGCCCCTCAGTTTACTGCCATCTGCTCAGAGCACAGCCAGAGTTCTTAGGGACCAAGGGTACTCCCAGACCACATCTGGGCTTGGCAGAATAGGAGCTGCCCCCCACCTCAGGAGCCCACTTGGACACCCCCACCCACCCCTAGCACCCTACCTCCACCTTCCTCTCAGGCACTGGGCCCTCCCTGGGCCTGTCAGGGGGAGAAAGCTGGTATAGGCAACCCCCACCCCCACCCCTCCTAAGCAGTCCTTCTAGAAGGATATGGACAGCCCCCCCACCCCCTCCTAAGCAGTCCTTCTAGAAGGATATGGACAGCCCCCCCACCCCCTCCTAAGCAGTCCTTCTAGAAGGATATGGACAGCCTCACTCCTGTGGGGCGAGGCTCTTAGGGGCCTGTCAGAGCTTCCATGGTCCAGCCTCCCCACTTTTCAGACGTGGAGTAAGCCCAGGACAGCCAGTCCCCCCCCCCCCCCCCCGCCACACACACACACTCACACACACACACACACACACACACACACACGTAGCTGACCTGGCCGTGCATCCTTGATGGGCATCTCCCCTGCCGAGCTCACACTCCTCTGGCCAGGACCTCTCTTCTGAGCAGGGCTCTCCTTTGGGGCCCAGCCTGGCTCCAGGAAGGAGGAAGGCCCTGCGCCCAGCTCCAGCCCTAAATAGCCCCTGGTTCCCTGTGCTTCATCCTCCTGCTCCCCAAGATGTTTGTTTCTCCTGAGTGCTGGCTCTGAGTCAGGCACCACACACACACACACACACACACACACACACACCACACACACACACCACACACACACACCACACACACACACCACACACACACCACACACACACACACACACACACACCACACACACACACCACACACACACCACACACACACACCACACACACACCACGCACACACACACCACACACACACACACCACACACACACACACCACACACACACCACACACACACACCACACACACACCACACACACACACACACACACACCACACACACACCACACACACACCACACACACACACACCACACACACACACACACACACACACACACTCACGCCTGCTGTTCTTCAATCCAGAAAGGGAGGAGGCTCCGAGCACTTATTAAACTCCTACTGAGCAGCACAGTCTGGTGGGGGGACTGGGTATGGGACAGGGGTGGCCCCTCCTGAATCCTCGCCAGCATATACCTCCTGACCCCATTCCTGCTCAGAGCTCTGGATCCTGATTGCCCACTTGAGGAGATGGCCGTCCTGCCTGCTTCGTTTTCCTGACCCTTCTTCCAACCAGCAATGGCTGAAAGCCATCACTCCTTCCTCCCTGGGAAGGGGCTGCGCTTCCTGGGACTCCATGGGGCTCGGGCTGGAGGAGGGAACACCTGCACTCTCCACTGGGTAGCCCAGAGAAGGAGGGGCTCAGAAATGTCTGGGCCCTGGCTGGTTTGGCTCACTGGGCAGAGCATCAGCCTGCGGACTGAAGAGTCTTGGGTTTGATTCCAGCCAAGGGCACTTGCCCGGGTTGGAGACTCAATCCCCAGGAGGAGGTGTGCAGGAGGCAGACAATCAATATTGATGTTTCTATCTCTCCCTTCCTCTCTGAAATCAATAAAAATATTTTTAAAGAAGAAAGAGAAAGAAAGGAAGGAAGGCAGGCAGGCCTGGGCTGTCTAGCTACTCCTCCCCCAAATAATTACCTCCCCGGCTCCTAGGCTGGTCAGCTCCCGGGGCGGTGCCCTTTGTGCCCTTTCTCTGAAATGAGTCCCAGCGCTGGCACAGGGCCTGGCCCAGGAGGGAACTCGGTAAACATTTGACGATCAATAGATGCGTGGCTGCCTGTCCTCTGCCTCTTTGGCGCCCCGGCCTCCTTCTGGTGGAGAGACAATGTCCTAGGTGGGCCCTGCTGCCCCACAGGCCGCTGCAGCCTCCCATCAAGACCTGCAGGTCACCTCCTGGGTGGCCTCTGGGGACACCCACCTGCTCCGTGTGTAGCTGGCCCTGTTCTGGCCACACTCGCCGAGGTGTAATTACCTGTGTTTGTTCCCTCTCTGGACTCCAGCGTCCCCACAGCCCGCTGGTGTGTTCCCACCAGGACCGGCTGGGGCGGACCCCATAGTCTTTATTGGAGAGGGCACCCTGTAGGGGTGAGCCTGCTTAGGGGTGGCTTTTCACTGGAAACGTCAAGGGCTAGAGGTTCTCGGTGGGGCGGGGGAGGGGGACGGCGCTGCCCTGTCCCCACCACACACACCACACACCACAGTCCAGAAGAGTGTGACCGAGGCGACCCGTCTCGCCTCCGAGCTTCCAGGCTCCTCCCAAAGGAGTGGGCACGCGCTCCGACCTCCGGGAGCCGCGGAGCAGGGTGAGCACCGATGCTGCAGGAGAGCGCGGGGCGCACTGCGGACCGGCCCCGCTAGCGGCTCCCCGGGCGGCGGCCCTAACGAACAAAGGCTGCGGGGGGTGGGGGCCGGCCGACCGCGGGGAGAAGACCCTCGCGGGGAACCCGGTCAGCCGGACCCGCCTCGGGTCTGTGTGCCGTGAGGCTGGGGGTCCCCGGGAGAGGCAGAGCGATGGGGCTGGGAAAGATGGGGGCCCAGGCGGCCCCTTTAAGAGCCAGTGTCGGGGTGCGGAGTGAGGGCAGAGGGCGGAGGGCAAAAGCGGCGAGCCCGGCCCCCCGCCCTTCGCGGCCTCCGCCTCTCATCTGCACCCAAAGCTGGGCTCCGGCTGACGTCACCTGCCCCCGAGCCGCGCGCGCTGATTGGCTGCAGGTGACGTCAGGGCCTTTTTTCGCTCCGCATGACCTCATCCCCGCCGGCGGCCCCGCCCTCCGCCCCGGGCCTGTCACTCGCGGGCGAGCAGTGGCCAAGCGGTGGCCGTCCAAACGCCGAGCCCCAGCCGAGCCCGAGCTGAGCAGCCCCGGCCGCGCCCGCCGAGCCGCGGGTGGGATGCGCGCCGGGAGTGCGCGTGCCCGCCCGCAGAGCGCGCGCCCCGGCCCGAGCCCGCGCTCCCTGCGGCGGCCGTGGCGGCGACGGCGGCGACGGCGACGCGGCCCGCACGCTCCCCGGTCCCCTGCCCCGGCGGCGTGGGCCCCGGCCGGGCCCATGGGCGGCGCGTCTGACCCTGCGCGCTGAGCGCGACGCAACCCGGTGCGCCCGAGGCGACGTGAACGAGGTGAGCGGGCGCCGGCTGCGGGCGCCGGTTGCGGGGCGCCGGAGGGGAGGAGGTTGCCCGCACGGAGGAGCCCGGCGTCCGGCCCGGGGGCGCCACCCGGGAGCGCTGGGGGCTGCGTCTGGAGGTCTCCCGGGAGGAGGAGGCAGCCGGAAGGTGAGCGGCCCCGCTCGCAGGTTGCCGGTCCTAAACCCAGCTCGCAGGGATGCGGTGCCAGACAGGGAAGCCCTTCCCCCGCCTCTCGCAGCGCCCCGCGGCCCCGGGCCTGGCCCACGCCCTGCCACCGCTTCGCCACCTTTCTCCCGCGATCGCTGCTTATCTTGGGGGGAGGGTATGAATAAGGACCCGGAGGGACCATTGGGATCCAGAGGGTACCTGTCGGGACCACTGCGCAGCCTGCGACGCCGCCGCCACCCCCTCTCCCTCCCCCCCCCCCCCACACTCAGCCCCGCTGGGGCGCAGAATTGGAGAAGGGTGTCCCTGCTGCGGGCTTGTGGGGTGCAGAGGCTGTGGCTCCCGGAGCGGAGCACCTTTGGCTTGCAGAAGGCTCAGGGAAGGATGCATTCCGAGTGGAGGGGGGACTGCAGATCCACCTCTCCCGTGTACCCAGGCCGCCGCTGGCACCCCCACCTCCGGGTGCTCAGCTGGGCACTGCGGAATAAAGAGTCGCCAGGCTGCTGCGGAGGCAGCCCGGGTGCGGGGGGAGGGGCTGGCACTGCCAGGCTGAGTGTAGCCAGCCTCCCTCTGCCTGTCTACCCACCTGCGGGTGGTTCTTAGCAGCCTGGCCTGGAGGGGAGATGGCATTGATGGGCCCAGCCCATAGCAGGTTATCATGTTCTGGGAGAATCTGCCTTCTGGCTGCTGCTGGGAGCAGTCGGCCTGGGCTGCAGTGATGGAGGGGGGAATGGGTGCTGGGGGAGCTGGTGGCAGGATCTGGTGTGGCATCTGCAGTGTTCTTGTTGTGCAGTGTGGGGTGTGGGGCGGGGGGGGGGTGTGTGCTGCGGACCAGGGGAGCAGTGTTCTCCCTGCTCTGGGCCCCAGACCTTGCCCCCAGGGCAGCCCTGGGCTGTGAGCAGCATCAGTGCCCCTCCCTGCTCCGAGGACAGATGTCCCTTGCCTTCCCTGAGATGGCTAATGAGCACCGGCCAAGGACAGGCTGCATCCTGAGGTCGCGGCCATCGTGGGGCTGGGAGAGTTGCTGGGCAGGTTCTCATCCCTGCTGTTCTCAGTCCCAGGGAAGCTCCTGGCCCCCGTGGCTGCCTCCAGGAACAGTGAGCTCCGTGCACAGAGATGCAGGAAGATGCTGGAGCCACCCTGTGCTCCAGCGCCCTTCCAGCATCACTTCTCCTCAGGCGGAGGCTGCCTTTGGGATCCAGAAGTTTATCATGGACAAAGGGCCCGGCAGCCATGGCTGTGGCCAGGGGAGGCTAGAGGGAATCCTGGTTATGTTTCCAAGATGTGAAGCTCAGAGGGAAAAGAGATGAGGGGGCTGAACCCACAGTGAAGAGACACTGACTGGGTGGGGATGCAGGAGGAGGCACTGCTCTGGGACAGCTCTGCCTGGGCAGGAACGGGGAGGTGCTTTGGGCTGGTCCAGGTGGGAAACCTGGGGGGTGGTGACCAGCAGCAGCCTGGGCAGGCCTGTGTGCACTCCGGGGACAAGCCCTGCAGATCAGCGAGGCCAGAGCACACGAGGCAGGAGCCGAGGAAGCCTGGCATTGCAGGGTCAGTCCCCACCTGCCTTTCCAAGGCCCCATATGCCAAGCCTCCCACCCCAGGCCACCCCAAGACCCCTGGGTGCCAAGAGGGCAGAGCCCCCCACCCCTCTAGTCTCTAGCCCCCCTGGACTGGCCAGGGCAGTGAAGCCAGCTTGAGTCCTGTCCTAGCCACCCTGGGTGCTGAGAGGGGAGCAGAGATGTGAGCATGTGGATGAGCATAGGTGGGGGTGGTGGGAGCCAGCCTGCTGGGAGGTCTCAGTGTGGCCTTTCCACCCCTGGGTCATAGCAAGCTGGACATCTCAGGTCCCTCCACGCTGGCTTTTCCTGAGTGCCTGCCTGTCTGTGCCAGGCACCACTCCTCTGAGGAAAGCCACAGTGTCATCCTCACAGTCTTAATAGCCTAGCCACCTATGCAGGTAGTGAGCTCCCAGTCACTAGATGCCGAGCAGAAGGCACCGTGGTGAGGGTGCTGGCAGCTGGGTCTCTTGGTCATGCATGCACTCAGGAACATGTGTGTGCTCACGGAGGCCCTGGGAGCGACGGTGTCAAGTCGTGGGGCTGGCATGGAGGTTGGGTGTCCTGGGACCTAGAGCAATTGGGCATGACATGCAGAGGGTGAGGACACCTATGTCCAGTGACCACATGTGTGTGCACACACATTTGCGTGTGAGTAACTATACATGGCGGGCAGAGGTGAGGTGCATTGTGGGAAAGGGGTAAGCACAGCTCTGAGGGTGGTCAGTGTGCAAAGGGGTATGTCCCAGCAGGTGTACACCCACACAGCAGCCAGGCTGCACCCAGCCGGGGCAGGGATGGTCTCCTGCCTCAGGACTGGGAACAGCCTCTGGTGTGGAGTGGGCTGTGCCTCTCTCCCTCCACACCCAGCCTCCAGAGCAGGAGGTGGTCGGGGCTCTCCCCCTCAGTTCCCAGGAATGGGGTCTGGGCTGAGACTGGGGCAGGTCCTTGAAAGCAGGAAGGACAAAGACCCTACAATAGCTCTTTGCTCTGTACCCACCTGGCCTGCTCTAACCCCACTGGACTGCTCGAGACTGTCCTGAGCATTCCCACCCGATCCCCACTCTGTGCCCAGAGCTCAACCCATCCACACAGCCCAAGAGGGAGAGGTAAGCCTTAGGTCCAAGGAGGCCTGTGGGTGAGTATGCGCTCCCAGGAGGCCAGCTCCGAGCAAGGGGTCTCCTGCAGAAAGGGTTCAGGCCAGACCCAACCCCCGTGCCAGCCCCCCGACTTGACACCGTCGCTCCCAGGGCCTCCGTGAGCACACACATGTCCCTGAGTGCATGCATGACCAGGATACCCAGCTGCCAGCACCCTCACCGCTGTGCCTTCTGCTCGGCATCTAGTGCCCGGGAGCTCACTACCTGGCCTTCAGAGCCTGTGCAGGGTGAAGAGGGTAGGGGCCTCATGGGCCCTGGCTGGGGGTGGTCCCAGGCCCCAGGTCCTGGGCACCTGCAAGGTGGGGAGGAGGAGCAAGTGAGGAGGGGGACCTGCCGCTCTACAGAGCCAGCCTGCTCAGTGGCTGCTGAGGCAGGAGGAGCGGTTGCCTGGCACTTCTGCTGTTGCCATGGTGACAACAGAGGTGCTAACTGACTAATGAGTCCCTCTTGGCTGCAAATAACAATACTGTAGTGGTTAATAGGGCCTCGCTGGCAGATCCTGGGGAGGCAGGGGGGGAACCAGGTAGAGCCTGGGGCCGGGCTGCCCACCCCCCTGCAGCCCCAGCAACATCGCCCCTCCCCTCTCTGGTCTTCACCTAGCCTCACCCCCTCCCTGCCTCCCTCCAGCCTAGATTCACACCCTGCTGGTTTGAGGGGCAGTTAAAGACCCTCCACTCTCCCAGCCCATCCTCCTCCCCGTGCTAGAGTTCAATTTGGCTCTTGGAGTTTTAGGTGGGAGGTGACTGCCCCACCCACCTGATGAGAACACGAAGGCAAGTGCCAGGTGCAGGACTCCCTGGCCCACAGTGTCCCCCCAACTGTGACCCTCTCAGGGTCCTGGGCCTCTGAGCTAGGCTCTTGGTTCCATGTCACAGAGCCGGAGGCTCTGCAGAGCCTGCAAGAGAGAGTGTAGGAGGCCTGGTGGCTATGGCCGGTCTCAGCCCTGAAGAGGTGCAGATTATAACTCAGAAGCTTTCCAAACTGCTCGTGAAGGAATCAAATAGCCACCCCACCCCCCAAGCTGGGCGGGGATTTGGTGGAGGGAAGAACTGATGGAATGAGACCTTGGTTCTGTCCAGTCTCCTTGGTGTGACCTTGGGCTTGTCCCACCCATTCCCCCGAGCCTCAGTTTCCCATATTAAAGCAAAGGTAGGCCTGGCAGGTGGGGTGGGGTGGCAGAGATTGGCACTGAGCCCCAGTTCTGCAGTCTCCTTAACCTCCTCCTCCCTCCATTCACCCCTCAGCCCAAGGGCCTTTGGGATATGCTGAGGATCCCAGATAGGGATCACCCATGATGACCTTTATCCTTGGGTTGTCCCCACCCCCAATCCTGGGATCTACCAGCCCTTAGAAGGTGCTCCCAGACCCCAGGCCCCCACTGTGTGAGAGTACCCGCTGCCACCACCCCCTTTTTGTGAGCGTGAGACACACCCTCCGGAGAAGGATGCTGGCTACAGAAGCTGGGTGGCGAGCGCTGCGAGCTCCAGGCCTGGGGTGCAGACCTGGGCAGGCTGTGGCAGCAGAGGAGCCCCCCCCCCCCCCCAAGCCCAGCAGCCTGCGGAGGCAGCTCTTACCCCATCCTCCACCCCTTTCTGGATTATCAGCTTATGGAGCGATTGGGTCACTGGGATCAGAGAGGAAGGGTGTGCCGCCTGGGGGGAGGGGACTCGGTGAAGATGTGGGGTCCAGAGAGGGGAGGGGAGGTAACAGAAACCCCAGGGGTGTGCCAGCCATGTAGCAGGGTCCAGCACACTGTCAGAGCTAGCAGAGGGATGCCGACCCCCCTCCCTCCCCAGAGGAAGGCTGTGGGTGCAGGCTCCGGCCTCCTGAGTGCTGGGGTCTCACACTGGCCTCTCCAAGGCTGCTGCTGACTGGCCACCTCTCCCTGCAGGTCTGGTACCATGCCCGGTCACTCTGAACCCTAGGCCACACCTGGGCCATCGGAGCAGCCCCTGCTCACTTCAGGGGACACCTCCTCCCCACTGCGCACTGCCTGCCATGGCCGGGGACCGGCTCCCCAGGAAGGTGATGGATGCCAGGAAGCTGGCCAGCCTGCTGCGGGGCGGGCCTGGCGGGCCCCTGGTCATCGACAGCCGCTCCTTCGTGGAGTACAACCGCTGGCATGTGCTCAGCTCCGTCAACATCTGTGGCTCCAAGCTGGTGAAGCGGCGGCTGCAGCAGGGCAAGGTGACCATCGCAGAGCTCATCCAGCCCGCCGTTCGCAGCCAGGTACCAGCGCTTCCGGTCCCGCTGCCCGCCTACCCGCCGGCTCCCACCACCCCAGGTGCAAGGCTGAGCTCCTCAGCCAAGTGCACAGGCCATGTCTGAGGCAGCTGCCCCCACCCTGCCCTTGAACTCACATCGGGTGCCTCAGAGTCAAAATGCTCAGAGCCACCCACTGCTGGGCTGCTGTGGGCAGCTCCCCTGCTTCTGCAGCTTCATCCCCAGGGTGGCTCTCCCTGACCCCATCGCCCCTGCCTACCCTCCCAGAGCCTTCCACCCAGTCTGTGTCCTCACTCAGCCCCGCACGGAGCTTTTCACACACACCAGACAAGGCCACATCCCAGGGGCCCAAACATGGGCCCAGAGGGGGTGTGAGTGGATGAGCGAGATGTGACCGCGCACTGGGGCCCAGGTGGCAAGGGGCAGTGGACCAGGATGGCAGGTGGGTCAGGTGGCTGGGAGGACTCAGAGGAGGATGGGGCATAGCCCAGGGGCTTATAATGACCAGTCTTCGGCCCCAGCCCCGCCCCCCTCCATTCTTTCCCCTTTGAGTCCTCAGTGACCCAGAATTCTCTCCGTGACTCCAAGAATGTTGGGTTACCTGCAATGGACAGTCCTGACTCTGCTCCCAGTAGCATCAAGCCCAGCTGTGGAGGGACAGACAACAGTGGTCTGGGAAGGCAGAGGGACTTCTCATGGGGGTGGGGGTGACATGCCATCAGCCTTGGAAGCTTTGGGGAGTTCTCGGTCACAGGCCTTGCCCCTTGCACAGCCAGTTGTGAGAGGACCCAGGTGAGAGCCCCTACCGCAGGGGCCGACCCAGATGGACTCCCTGCGGCCTCAATGAGGGAAATCCAGCCATTAATCACCCCCAGCGAGGACTCCCTGCCAGAGTGCAACCCCATTGGCTGCCGGTGACATCATTGAGCTGGGGCTGGCAGCTCTGCTGGCTTAAGGGCTGATGCTTGGGTGGCCAGGGGCATCAGCCTCTCTCTAAGCAAAAGCTGCTGAACATCTGGCCCCAGGCTGGGCACTGGGAGGGGGAGGAGGGCAGGTGGAGCCCAGCCTCCAGCTGCTGCCTCCAGAATTAGGGCCTTTTGCTGCAGCCCTGTCTCCTAGCTGGCTGGCTGGGGGTGCAGGGAGAGGAGAGCTAGACCCAAAGGTGCCCTGCCTTCAAATCCCCAAAATGTGCCTCCCAGGGACTCTGAGGGTGGTTCCCCTCACCTTGGCCAATGTGGGGGCCAGCCCAGGCCCTGGCTGTGCCATTCTGTCACTGTGATCCCTGCATGTATGCCTGCTGGGGACCTGCCACAGCCTCCAGTTGTCTCTTCCAAGTGGGTCTGGCCCACAACCTCCCGACACCCAGTGTTTGTTCCCTTCACTCTTTTTTTTTTTTTTTTTTTTTTTAATATATTTTATTTATTTTTCACAGAGAGGAAGAGAGAGGGATAGAGAGTTAGAAACATCAATGAGAGAGAATCATCGATCAGCTGCCTCTTGCACACCCCCTACTGGGGATGTGCTCGCAACCAAGGTACATGCCCTTGACCGGAATCGAACCCGGGACCTTTCAGTCCACAGGCCGACGCTCTATCCACTGAGCCAAACCCGTCCCAGCTGTTCCCTTCACTCTTGTATGGCATGGGGACCAGTTTCCCCATCTGCCTGCTCTAAGGGCCCGCCTGTGTGGCCATGGTGTTTACACCTGATCAGGTATACAGTGGGTGGTCGGGTGCCTGCCCTTCCCTCAAGGCAGCAAGGTGGCAGCAGACCCTCCCTCCTATCACTGGAGACCCTTCCTGCTGGTCCCTTGACCTCTGCCCTCTGCTCATGGCCCCAGGCAGAGGCTGAAGAGCCTCAGGACGTGGTTGTCTATGACCAGAGCACCCGGGATGCCAGCGTGCTGGCTGCAGACAGCTTCCTCTCCATCCTGCTCAGCAAGCTGGATGGCTGCTTCGACAGTGTGGCCATTCTCACAGGTGAGCTCCCAGGCCTGGGGAGGGAGGTGCAGGACACCTCTCCCTTGGCCTCTCCCACCTTATCTGCTTGGCTGAGGGGTGAGAGGGGGGCAGGGGCATCCAGGAGTCGGCGTTCCAGATGAATCCACCCCCTTCTTCTCTCTAATCTCAGAGATCAGCAATGGCTGGGGCAGTGGTTCTGTAGTTCTGTAGTTCTTGGGGCCCCACTGTCCCCTCCCCTGGGCCCCCACACTTTGGGGACCCCTGCACTAGCAGGTGAAGAGGTGAACAGAAGGAAAGGGGAGATGGGGAGATATCTAGGCAAAGATGTGGGTGGCTCAGCTGGTAGTCTTCCCCCACTCCCCCCAGCAACTAACCCAAGGATGGGTCATAGGCCTCAGCCTCTAGAAACCCAGTCTGAGCAGAACTGGTCCCCCAGAACTGGTCCTCCTGGCTACAGCCCCTGGAGCATGCCCTCTGCCTGAGAGGGTCGTGGGGTTAGGCACACTGGGGTGCGAGAATAGGCTGCTGTGACCCAAGTTCCCCATCCCCACCCCCACCCCACTGGGCTGTGACGTTGGGGGTGGGGTGGGGGAGGGAGCCTAGTCCTTTAAGCAGCATGGAGGACCACTCCTGCAGAATGCGGGCAGGGGATGCCACCCGCCAACCCCCCTTGCACACGGCACCCTCAGACCCTGACTGGAGACACAGGCGGGAGCAGCCCCGGTGCGAAGGGTGGGTAGGGACCCCACCTGGGAGGGCAGTGGGGGTGGCCTGGAGGCTGGAGCACTGGTGGGCGGAGTCCTGGCGCCTTTGTACAAGTCCAGGATGGCATCGTGAAGGCGAGACCAGCCGTAGCCCCTCAGCCTGCCACCGAGCTGAGGGAGCAGGGTTGGCTGGGAAGGAGGGGTCCCTCCTGCAGAAAGTGGCTGCCAAGGGGGGCCCTGCCAGATAGGGGCGCCTTCCCACATTTGGGAGTGCGGGGACCTGTGGAGGGTCCGGGTCAGCCACCACTGCCTCACTCCCCAGAGCCTGGGCATCCCTGACCTAGCATCTAGGGGGTTCATAGGGGATACCCCAAGCCAGTTTGCTCTAGCCAGGTGGGTCATGGGGGCCGTACCTGAGGAATTGCAGCAAAGACTGGCAGGCTGTGCACTGTACAGACTTTCCCTGGGGAGGACGCTCCTGGTGGACCTTCCCCCACCCCCTCACCCCCGCCTTGGACCAAGGGTCCCCTGGCTCTGGGTGATGAGCAGGAGCCGACTCCAAGGACCCAGCTTGGCCTCCTCTCCTGGGAGCCTGGGAATTCCAAGGCTGGCACCTCCACTTCCTAGCCTGGAGGTCCCCCATGCCTCCCAAAGTCATGCCTCTTCATTGAGGTCACAGGGGCACTCAGACTGGGGATTGCACAGACAACTCTGAGCTGGGCCAGGGTGAAAGCTGAGGCCTCCAGGTGTCTCTGTCCTTGGGATAAGCCAGATCTTCTGCAGACCAGGGCAGGAGACCACACCTCACACTGCTGCCTCCTCCAGCTGGGGAGGGTAGGCCTCGGCCCTATTGTCTCACTGGATGGAATGGTCCACTGAGACCAGAAACAGCAGCCTGCTGGGCGGGGAACAGTGTAGGTGCCACGGGGCTTGTGTACCCAGAAGTGTGGTCTGCCCCAGGGTGCCACCTGGCAGGCCTTGCTCATTCTATGAGAGCTGGTGGTCACTGGGCACTCAGCCAGGCTGGTATGAGAAGTCCATTCTCAGTGTGTGGTTGCCATCGTTTTCTGTGTGGTGCATAGGACCATAGCTGTGTGGTGCCTAGGACGAGGAACAGCTCTGCCGAGGTCATGCCCTGGGTCAGGGTTCCCCAGGAAAGAAGCTCACCAGGTCATTCTGGCCAGTGGTGGGCTCCCTTCTCTGGCCCTGGGCCCAGGACTCAGACGTGCTGTGCAGAACTGTGGCAGTGCACGTGCCAGCCAACGTGGTCTGTGTGCCCGTGCCTATCCTGCGTGCTCCCCGTCCCCAGGGTGCCCAGCTCCTTGGTCTTTGCTGGTGGAATGAAGCTACAACTGGAGCACAGATGCCCCTGAGGGCTGTGCCAATTCCAGTGAGTGATGTCATGCCCAGGAGGAGGGGAGGACCCCCTCAGAAGCTCTTGCCTCCTGGTCCTGGCACCCAAGCCTGGCCTGGGGCTCCCAGCCAGATGGAGGCAGGGAGGTATTGCATCAGCCCAGGGGGAGAGGTGGAAGGCCCAGCCTGGCCCTGCCACAGCTATGGAGGAGCCGTGTGATCCACACCCATGGCCTGGGAGCCTGCCCTGCCTGGGCCCTCGGCATGCTGTGCTGACCGCCACCTCGACCTCACGTTTTATGGGCATCACAGTGGCGTCCCCAGTTGGGCTACCCCCTGACTAGCACGCAGAGGAATGTGGGCACAGAGGGGCCATAGATACACAGCAGGAGCTCAAGCTGCAGCGAGGAAGTGGGGAGATGGCCTCCAGCACCCAGCCCTGAGATCAGGACTCAAGCCAGAGGGTCGGCTGTGGGGCCAGGGTGGCTGTGGCTGGGACACAGGGGCATCAGTGCCCTGGGTTCTCTCCTGCCCCAGCCAGCAGCCTGCCTGACCATCTCCTCGCTCCTCCTACTGCAGGGGGCTTTGCCACCTTCTCCTCCTGCTTCCCCGGCCTCTGTGAGGGCAAGCCTGCTGCCCTGCTGCCTGTGAGCCTCTCCCAGCCCTGCCTGCCCGTGCCCAGTGTGGGCCTGACCCGCATCCTGCCTCACCTCTACCTGGGCTCTCAGAAGGATGTCCTCAACAAGGTGTGTACTCGGGCCAAGGGGGAAGGCGGCAGGGAGGAAGGACGCTGAAGGCCCGTGGGCGGTGGATGAGCACGGGTTGGGGTTCCTTGAGGACCCAAGGGGAGCAGCATTACCAGAGCCAGGCTGGGGGAGGGCCCTGCAGGGCAGGGCGAGGAAGTAGCGCCCTGCTCCCTCAGAGGCAGAGCCCACATGCCGAACCGCTGATGTCACTGGGCCCCTGGCCAGCGCTGAAAGAATCCGGTGTTTTAAAAATGGTGACGAGGGAAGAGGGTGAAGCCACCGCCCAGGCTGCCCTAAAATTCCTGGGAGCCAGGCAGGCTGTGGGCGGGGCTGGCAGAGGCCTGTGGGCTCCCGGGTGGAAATGGGCGGGGCTTCAGGGCCCAGCCCCAAGGCGACTTCTGAGGCTCTGGGATCTGGGCGCTCCAGGTCCCACCAGCTGCGCCCCCTTACAACCTGCTCCCCTCCTTCTCCCGTCCCTCCAGGATCTGATGACCCAAAACGGAATAAGCTACGTCCTCAATGCCAGCAACTCCTGCCCCAAGCCGGACTTCATCTGCGAGAGCCGCTTCATGCGCATCCCCATCAACGACAACTACTGTGAAAAGCTGCTGCCCTGGCTGGACAAGTCCATCGAGTTCATCGGTGAGGGCGGCACTGCGCCCACTTCGGGGTGGTGGGCGGGAGGAGGGGCCGCTCCGGAGAGGCGGCTGCTATTATTAGCGGCAGGGAGGGGTTTTCCTCACCTGGGGGTGACAGGACTGGCCACTCCTGCACTCACCTGGTCCCCACCCCCATCCCCAGATAAAGCCAAGCTGTCCAGCTGCCAAGTCATCGTCCACTGTCTCGCCGGCATCTCCCGCTCCGCCACCATCGCCATCGCTTACATCATGAAGACCATGGGCATGTCCTCCGACGACGCCTACAGGTAGCCAGGCTTCCCTCCGTGACGAGACTGCCTGCCCCCTCTTCTCCTCTCTCCACCCAGGAGCATCGAGCATCGGAGTGGCCCAGGGTGCAGGGCCAGCTGGCGGGAGGGAAAGCCGGGAGGGAAGGTGGGAGGGAGGTCTGAGTCAGCCCCAGCACGTGTGGGTCTGACAGCGGCTGGGTGCCCAGGATGGGCAATTGGGCCTGGGAGAGATGGGTGCACAGCCGGTCCGTGGCCATCCAGGTTTGTGAAGGATGGCACCCATCCATTTCTTGCTCCAGGTTTGTGAAGGACCGGCGCCCATCCATTTCTCCCAACTTCAACTTCCTGGGCCAGCTTCTGGAGTATGAGCGGAGCCTCAAGCTGCTGGCTGCCCTGCAGGGCGACGGGGTGCCCCTCCCCGGGATGCCCGAGCACCTCCCAGGCCCTGCAGCCCCCCTGCCGCCACTGCCACCACCTACCTCAGAGAGTGCTGCCACAGGGAGTGCAGCAGCCAGCTCGGCCAGGGAGGGCAAGCGGGGCACAGGCCGGGAGCCCCCCTCGCCTGCCGCAGCCCCTGCTACCAGCGTGCTGCAGCAGGGCCTGCGCAGCCTGCACCTCTCCTCCGACCGCCTCCAAGACACCAGCCGCCTCAAGCGCTCCTTCTCGCTGGACATCAAGTCAGCCTACACCCCCAGCCAACGACCTGATGGCCCCGGGGCCCCTGACCCTGGCGAGGCCCCCAAGCTCTGCAAGCTGGACAGCCCATCGGGGGTGCTAGGCCTGCCCTCGCCCAGCCCTGACAGCCCAGATGCAGCAACCGAGTTGCGCCCGCGGCCCCGCCGGCGGCTCCGACCTCCGGGGGGCTCCCCCGCCCGCTCACCTGCACATGGCCTCGGCCTGAACTTTGGGGACACTGCCCGGCAGACTCCACGGCACGGCCTCTCAGCCCTGTCGGCGCCCGGGCTGCCTGGCCCAGGCCAGCCGGCCAGCCCTGGGGGCTGGGCACCGCCCCTGGACTCGCCAGGCACGCCGTCGCCAGACGGGCTCTGGTGCTTCAGCCCTGAGGGTGCACAGGGGGTGCAGCTTTCGCCCCTCGGCCTGGCCGGCCCACAGGGCACGGGCAGCAGTGATTTGCGACGGCGGGAGGCGGCGAGGGCCGAGTCCCGGGATGCGAGGACCAGCTGGCCCGAGGAGCCAGCCCCAGAGACGCAATTCAAGCGTCGAAGCTGCCAGATGGAGTTCGAGGAGGGCATGGTGGAGGGGCGCGCCCGCAGTGAGGAGCTGGCGGCTCTGGGCAAGCAGGCCAGCTTCTCCGGCAGTGTGGAGGTCATCGAGGTGTCCTGACGGCGGCCAGCATCGGCCCCTCCGTGGGGACCTGGTGCCCCTGAGCCCTGCGCTGCCCTCGGCTGGGCCGCCAGCAGCCGGGCCCACTACGGATATATATTATATATAATGCAGAGAAAGGTAAATGGTTTTACTGCGATTTTTATCGAGAAGTAAATATTTCGATTTTTTATTTATTGAAGCTGTTTGTTCTGGCAATGGCTTGGCAACAGCGAGGGTGGTCCTCCAAGCTCTATTTTTAGTCTGGTAATTAAACTGAGACACGTTTCTAAGCAATATGAGGCCACCTTTCAGTCGCAAGCTGGGTGCCAGGCTCGGGGTCCCCTCCCCGCCAGCCCCACCCTGAGGAAACACTGCTGACCATTGCAAAGAGGCTGCCGAGCTTTCGTGCACTTTTTACTTAAGAAAAAGGGAAAAAAGGAAAAAAAACACACACACACACAAAAACCTTGCCACAAACTGAGCCGCAGAAACTCCCGCCTACCCTCCTGCCTACCCCTCTCCACACCCGCCTCCTTTCTCGGGCTGTGCACCAAAGCCATGGGAGCTATGGTCCAGGAGTCCCTGCTCCCCCTCTGCCAGCCCCAGGCACTGTGTGTTGGTGCCAGTGAGGACACCATCACCACCCGTTTCCCCAGGCCCGTGCCTGGCAGGTGCTGACCAGCACTGGGCCTGCCAAGGCTGGGGGCTGGGGTATAGAACAGGGTAGGATTGGTGAAGGGGGCTCTTAAGTGTCAGAGGCAGGGGGTCCCAGAACAGGATGGAGGTGGAGTGCCTCCACACGCGCCTGAGCCAGGCCCACTTTCAGGGGCTCAGCAAGGCTCTTCAGAGGTTGCCTTCCTCCCCTCTGCACTGACAATGTCCCCGAGCACCCTCTGGGGTGTCTGGCGAGAGGAGCTGAGCTCCCTGGCCTGCCATGCTGGCTGCACTGGTCAGAAGGCAGATGGGTTTAGGGTCTTATTCTGGGCTCTCCCTCCACCAGCCCGCCCCAGGCCAGACTTGTAAGTCAGGTGCACTGCAGGTGAGGGGCTGTGAGGAGTGGCCACCTTGCCGAGGGAGGGCCATGAGCACCTGTCCAACCCCTCGCTTGCAGGGTGGGGGGCCTTAGGCAACGCAGGATGTGTCTCTCAAGTCTACCCTGCCCTCACAGGGGCCTCAGAGGAGAGGAACCCCCTGCACACTCCTCTCCCCGAGAGCTCCCCCCTCTGAAGCCTCCCTTATCTTCCAGGTGGCGTGCTGGTCCCCACCCAGGCAGAGGGGCTCAGCTGGGCTGGCCTGGGAGTGAGGGCAGGAGAAAAGGCCCAGCCACCTGGCCCCACACCCACTGGGGTTATTGGGACCCAAGGTGTTTAGAGTAGATGTCCCCCAACCTTAGAAGTCCTAGGGTCCAGGATGTGGATGGAGCTGGCACCCTAGGGAAGCTGGCAGGAGGGGTGGCCCCGGCAGGACTGAGTCCCACCCCCAACTGCCCCTCTGGCTGTTTCTATTTGTTCTTCTTTGGACTCACAACCTCGTGTCCCTGTCATGCCTCCCTTAAGCAGAAGTCCTGTTCCTGCTCTCTGTCCCCACCCTGTTCCCCAAGAAATAAGCTATCATTGTTGTATTTGCAATCTATGGATTAGAGGTTTAAGTATTTATTAATATTGGTTAATTATTATTATTATTGATTATGTAAATTGCCTCCTGTTTGTCTGTTGTGTTGGGTTTCTGAGGTGACACTAGGTGGAGTGCTGTCCAGGAGACAGTGGTCCGGGCCACTCATGGCCCAGCACTCTGGAGGCAGGTCCCATGGGGGGCAGGCAGGGGTGCTCTTGCTCTTGAGGCACTGGTCACCCCAAAAGGAGCAGCTGCAACCAGAAGGTCCCCTTTATGTGCTGGGAGCCCCTCCCTGGTCATTTCTACTCCCTGTCCCGGGCAGGGAGGGATGGGCCTCAGTCCTCTCCAAGTCTCCTTCAGCTCTCTACCCTCCTGCCCACTCCCCACCCCATGCTCTGGTCTTGGGGTGGCCCCAGAATGGATCGGCCCCCTTCTATTATTTGCTGGGAAGTCCAGTGGAGGAGAGGTGGCAGGCTCCCCCCACTCCACAGCTCCAGTCTCTCAGGACTGGGCTGCCCGGGACCCTCCCCCAGTGCGGCCACACGTTCTGCTCCCCTCCTGTCCCCTCTTTTGTATTTGGGAAAATTGTGTTGTAATAAATCCTGAGATGGATGTTTTCTCCACAGTCTGCTGCCTCTTTCTTCAGGTTGGGAGGGCAGGGAGGGGTCCTGGAGGCCTCTCTGAGGCCAGGAGATCATGATGTTGGGCCTGCAAAGCTGGACTGCCCAAACCCGGAGGGCAGAGGGCAGAGGGCAGAGGGCAGGACAGGTGGGGGTGGGGGGAAGGCATCACTTAGGAGGTCCGGTGTGGAACCCTTTCTGTTACGAGCTAGTGAGGACTTGGGTAACTTAGAACCATGTGAAATGAAAACTCAGCTCCTTCCTCTGCCCACAGTCCTCTCCCAGAGTCATCCGGGACTGACTGGATGACAGCCTCCTGGGTCCCGTGTGGGCTCACATGTGCACATACCTATGATGGCGCTTCCTTCTCATCAGAAATGGGGTCCAGGCCGAAACCAGTTTGGCTCAGTGGATAGAGCGTTGACCTGCGGACTGAAAGGTCCCAGGTTTGATTCCTGTCAAGGGCATGTACAAATCACGGAAATGATTTGTTGGAGTAATAGGTTCACATGGTGCAAGGGCCTCTGGTGTCACCACCACCCTTGGGCCCCCACTGGATTCCGTCCCCTGGAGGCCACCCTCGGACCTCCCTGCCCCTCACAGGCACCAGGCAGCAGAGGCTGCAGGCTGCGTGGTGTGTGTGATCCTAAGGGACTCACAAGGGAGGCTTCAGACAGGCTGACCTGGGTCCCTCCCAATTTTGCCTGGCAGTTACCATAGCCCAGCCCTGCTGCTGGACACCCACCATCTGCCAGGCACCTCACTGGGCATTTTCTAGGCAGCTCCAAACAGGCCTGTGCCCCCAACCCCATGGTCCTGTGGCAAGTACCATACAAGACCCACGGGGGCCTGACCTTGGAGGTTTGGCCTGCTTCTCTTTGCAAGCAGGGAGGTAGCCCACACCAGTGACACCGGCTAGACCTGTGTGGCTGTGTGTGCATGTGAATGCACGGGTGGGCGTGTCCACATACACGGGTGGGGGCTGTGGAAGGAGCTGGGGTCCTTGAATCCTGCACCCTTGAGAGTTCTGAAAGAGGCTGAAAGCTAGAATCATGGGCTGGCACTCCAGCAAGGCTATTTTTAGCTAAAGAACATCTATTTATAACTCTGGCAGCCCCTTGGAGTCAATAAAAGGAGGACTGGAAAAAGCGGGTGTTGTCACAAGCAGTGTAAGGTGCTCCCCCACCTCTCATGCTCCTGAGCCCCTGCTGCTGGGGAGGGGGGTTTGGGGGGGCTTGACCCATGGAGTGCAGATGGCCTCGGACCCTGAGGTAGTGAAAGACTGGATAGGGGTGGGGATCACTGACCAAGTGGGCCAGCCTGAACCAAGCAGGTAGTGAGGCAAGACTTGAACCCTGTGATTTGGCCTACACCTGCTCCGGCCCCCACACTGTCCTAGAGGGACAGCAGGTCTCCTAAACCCTGGGCACTCCTGTATCTGTCTCTGTCTACCCAGCTCTGGGCCAAGAACTGTAGATACTTGCGGGTTCTGGGTGGTGGGTAGAGGGTGGGTATGGGGTGGTGTTGTGTGGGTCTCGGCCTGTCCATGGTGAAGCTATTCTATTGGTTAGGATGCTGGGTCACTCACCTGAGCTCCCCTCACAGATCAGAGCCAGGACTGTGGTCGGCCCAGCCCATCTTACTATGATCGAATGACACATCTCAGCACCAACCATCAGGGAGGTCTGAAAACACGGGATATATTAGTCAGCTCCTGGAGTGTCAGCCTCATGCCCAAGGCCACGCGGCGAGGTATAGGGGCAGATGTATGGGGCTCTGCCTTTGTTGGGGAAAGGGTGGGTGCCTAGGGTTTTGAGGAAGTTCAGGGATGGGGTGGTTGATATAGTGGACAATGTGTTTATGGGTGATCCATGCCTTTGAGACAGATGCCTCAGCCACCAAAAGCTGCAGTGCTGGTGCTTACCTTACAATCAACAAAGCCAGTGTCAGACACTTAGGACTAATGGGTAGGTGAATGGGTGGGTGTGAGGGTGGGTGATTGATTGTGAAGGAGAGTGAGTAGATGGATGGATGGGTGGGTGGGTAAGTGGTTGGGTAGATGGCTGGTTAAGGAGTGGATGAATGAATGGGGTATATAAATGAGTGGGTGAGCAGATTGATGGATGGGGTGGGTAGGTAGATGAATGTATAGATGAGTGGTTAAGTGGATAGATGATGAATGGATGGATGGATTGATGGATGATGGGTTAGTAGGTGGATAGTTAGATAGGAAATGGGTAAGTTCATGGATAGGAGGTGGATTGATCGGTAGGAGGTAAGGTGGGTAGGTGGATGGATGGGTGGTGAGATGGATAGTAGGGTGGATGGGTGGTAGGGTGGGTAGGTGGGTGGCAGGTTGGATGGGTGGGGAGCAAGGTGGGTAGGAAATGATGAGGCAGTGAATGGGAGAAAGGAAGGGAGGGAGAGAAGGTGGGTGAGTAGTAATGTTTATCACTCTGCTAGTCTCCTTATATTTAAGTTGAGTGCTTACCTTCAGGTTCCCAATGGACCAGAAAAAGCTACTGGTCCTTGCCGATAGGAGGCACCCAATGAATACTTAATGAATAAACCAAAACCCATTGGTCTCAAGAGTTGGACACCACCCCAGAAACCCAGGTCAACCCTCTCCAAGGCCCAAGGAGGGGACCTGACTTAACATCCCTCAGAGTTGGGCCGAGGTGGGGGTGGCCTCCGTACCCTGATCCGGGGCTCCGCTCTGCCTGGCTGAGCAGTCCCTGGGAGGGGCCAGCCTCAGTGGCCACTCAGCCTCCTTCCAACTCAGACCATGCTCCTGTGGATGGATCCGTCAGGGTCTTCTGAGGCTCAGACCTGAGGGGCTCTGTGGGGGAGAGAGAAAAGGGCTAGGTCTCAGGAAGGGGGGGGGGAGGCCTGGAAGGCCAGGTTGTGTTTGGAGAGCCTGGGGCATTGCCGCCTGGGCCCTTGAGGGCAAAAGGGCAGAGGTGGGGTTGCACAACACTGGGGCTGCCTCCACCCCAGATGAGGAGAGATGGGGAATGGGCACCGCTCCGCATGGTTCTGATAGCAGGTGGGGGAGGAGTTTCATGGTTCCTGCAGAAATGTGGTCCGTCCTGAGCAGGGCGAAGCCTCCTCATCCAGGAGGAGCCAGGAGCCTCTGAGGAGTTGGAGAACAGAACCAAAACTGGGCAGCTGGTGTCCCATTCTCCCAAAAAGGGGCACAAAGGGCCGGGTGCTGGACAGACAGGAGTATGAGTGGGCGGATTCTTGGCAGGGCTATTCCAGGGGCCTCCTGCAGCTGGCAGAGCCCCTGGGAAGTGCAGTCTCCCTCTCAGCTGACCAGGCTCCTGGCACCCACCCCCAGAGGAGTCTCATCCGTTTTGGCAGGGGGTGGGGCGGAGGTCTAGCTTGGTGGGCAGACCCTGGGCCTGCTCCCAGACAAAGGGTCCTTTAGGAAGGCCCGGCCATGAGGACCTGGCAGTGACTTTGTGCAGGGAGAGGGGATCAGGGAGAGGGGGGCCATCGCCAGGCTGGGCAGGCAGGAGAAAATGAGGCTGAGCCATGGGGCCGTTCCCAGAGCCCAGAGTGGGTCCCAGTGGGGCTAGGGGAAGAACAGGGTGCTTCCCGCTGCTCCCCCACAGGCCTGGTCAACACCAGGCAGGTGCCTGGCCAGCTCCCTTCAAAGGTCTTCTCCTGGGGAACCCAGATCCAAACTGGAAACAGAAGCAGAGAGGCCTTTCCCCAGGTGGCCCAGCAGGGGTTTCGGGGAACAGAAGAAAAAGCTGTGTTACTCTTCCTGGCCATGAACTAGGCGGGGTGCTGGGTCTCCCATCCCACCCCCAGCACCTGCGATCCTTCGGCTCCTCCCTGGTACCCCAGCCCCAGCTGCGTGGTGCTCCAGCCAGGCGAGTGCAAGTACGAACACACACACACACACACACACACACACACACACACACACACACGGCAGGTGATGGGGGGACCAAGGGGAGGTGGCACCATTGGTGTGGGGGACAGCAGAAGCCAGACTGGGCCTGATGCCATTGGCCAATGTTGCTATAAATAGCCAAGAACTTGAAATAGAAGTGGGGGAAGGAAGGGTGGCTAGTCCTGGAGCCCAGTGTGGAGGAGCGCCTGTCACCAAGGAGACAAAGCCCTGTCGATCACCCTGCCCCTGGCTATGCATGGAGTGTCCGTACTGGACATCAGTGAAGCAGGATGAAGTCGAGAATTCTGCCAGCCCAGAGGAGTGAAGGGGGTATGATCTGTGCCCACCAAGCTCCCTCCCGTCCCAGGTGGCCTGTGGGCAGTGTGGCCCCTGCTCCTCTGCCTCCAGGAGGAGGCGGATGGAGATTCCCACTGCCCCTTCCTAGCGCCACCCGGTCAAGCCCCTGGTGCTGGAGACCCACGGGGACGGGGATCACTGGGCACTGCCTGCCCTGGCCTGGCAGGAAGGAGACTCTTTCTGCACCTTGACCTGCACCATCCTGCAGGAACCTCCCTGACTGGGAGAGGCTCAGAGGCGTGGCCAGCCTGTCCAAGGACGCAGGCTGTGCCGATGGGGGAGGCTCTGGGGACCTCCTGGCTGCCGGTGCCCATGGTCTTTCTGCTCAGCTCCTTTTCTCCTCCTACCCACTCACCTGGGGGTCTGGGGCCCTAGGCCAAGACTGGGCAACTGCAGGCCTGCAGGCCTGCGCAAACAGCTGAGCAGGGGTTTCACAGCTGCTCACCTGCAGGTTAGGGAGAGAACCCAGGACCTCCTTCCTGAGTCCCCTCCCTCCCCAGTGACTTCAGCCCTGGTTCCCACCCCCACTCTCTCGGAGGTTCCCCCACCCGAGCGCCCGCCCCTCTCAGCTCCCCATTTCTGCCCGTGGCAGCCCCGGGAGGGGGCCGGCAGTCCTGGGGAGATAAAGAACAAGGGGATGGCACGCACAGCTGATAAGGCCCTTCCCCTTGAGTCACTCCGACGGGAAACTGCGGGAGGGGCAGGATTTGGGGCAGTGGGGTGGGGTGGAGAGGGCAC